CCGGCTGGGGAATTCTGGGAGTTGAAGTCCACTCATCTTAAAGTGGCCAAGTTTGGACAAAACTGCTATAAGTCAGCCCTCTTGTCTGGTGGTATCTCTGTGTGTGTCTGTATGTTATTGTTCTGAGTGTTCCTCAAGTGCCAGAGTTATTGTGCTTGTAACTTAATACAAGTTTAATAAATTGTTGTTATGTTGCTTATAAAGAGGGTCTGTAAGATACTCAGAAACCTTTTGGGATTGGAAAGGTATTTATGTCCTAGCAAATAAATAAATAAATTTTATGCTGAAGAAATAATTCCTTACTGAAGTAACCTGAGCACAAAAATTGAATGATACTAAGCAAAAGCAAGGAGTTCAGAAAACTCAGACTACTGTTCTTCTTTAAAAAAAAAAAAAAAAAAACCTCCTAAAAAATTCTATATATCACCAGAAACAACTCTAAGGAAATTGTACCCTGTTACAGTAAGCAAGTACTCTCCCTTTCAAAAAGGTAAGGCAGCAAAGACTTCAGCTGACTGGTTAATATGGGACAAGTCACAAGATCAGAAGTCAGAGAACTAGAAAAAAAAGAGCAGCAGCCCATCAAGCACAATTGGTAGAATCTCTTTAGAAGAAACCAAGTTCCAAGCTAAAGACATTCTTTGGGAATCTAGTTCAGAATTCCGGGAATTATAGGCCAGCACATCTAAGGATGCCAGATTGGGAAACATCACGGTAGCACAAACAACAAAGTAAGACATCCAGAACAGGGTGGCAAAAATTCCAAAAACATGACAGCAAAGCAGCAGATTTTTGCTGCCCAAATCTGGGAGCCCTAAAAAAAGAAGTCCAATCTAAGTTATGCAGGTTTGATTTCCATTGGCTATGTGGCCTGGAGCAAAGTCAAAGCTTAATAGTTAACTTTCTCCAGGTAAATGAAAGCTTTCTGCAGTAATTCCAGTACAATATTGCAGTGCATCTGTGCCACATGCCAGCCTTCATGGGTTGGAATGTGTGAGAAAGGTGTCCTTGATAAACCATATTTATTTCAGTCATATTAGCACGTGTTTTGTGAGACAGGAAAACATGTCATTGCCTTCTTTCCAAGGATTTTGGTTACAAAGGACCTACCCTTTATTATCCATGGAGCCATCTTACTTTTATTGATAGTTCCTTTAATACACAGACACGGTTGTGCCTACATGAAAGAAAGAAAAAAACATTCGAAGGGGGGGAAATGGATATGCAAATTTGTTAGTTATCCTTTTCAGGATTAAAAAGTGGGACTATGATTTATATATAAATAATTTATTTATTACAGCCTTAATAACAATGATCGTTCCTTTTACTCACCACAAGAACTCCATTAGTAATGACCTTAGAGGGACGATGCTTGCTGTGGAAATAAAAGCATTTGCTTATTTTTCTGTTTTTTTTATATTATGCTTCTAATCCACCCAATAAGCCAGTTTCTCTGAGTGGACTGCAAAGGTATTTGCAGCATGAAAAAGTTTCTGAAAACATTTTCAAATCAAAATAACAGTAAAACAAAGAGAATGGTAACATTCAGCTGATACATAAATAACCCAGAAAAGCTGTAAAATTTGCAATTACAGTGTAGAAATGAAACTTGAGTCCAAAACTATAGAAATAGCTGGAAGAAGGGGAATTCTTTACATAATACCAAAAAGACATGCCACCTCAGAAGGGCATTACATTAGAAAGGTTTTGGATAGGCTTTCAAGATTCTGTTAATATGCTCTACAAAAATAAAGACGCATTCCTGGAATTCCTGTGATGTCTGCTTCTTGATCCGGCCTGCCATGAAGACCTGACAAATAGTTGCAATGTCCCAATAATATTTTAAGTTTAAATGAAATGTCAGTTAAAGAATAAGTCTGCATATTATTACATCATGATGGAGGAAAGGACACCTCACCTTTCTTCCAATGAAAATTCAACATCCAGTTCTGCTCTTTTCTCCTTGAAGAGCAAAACAAAAGGTAAGTTAAAACAGTGTCAAGATCTAGTCCCAATTTAGTTCATCGCTACACACACATGCTCATGTGTACCTCTCTTTTGTTAATGAATGTTTAATATAGCTCTTTCTAGATCAGTATTAACTAAATCATATAAATACATATTTATTCTATCAATGTAGCTGTTCACAGCTTAGTTTCTTGTCTTGTCATACACTATACTACTTAATTAGCTTCTTGTGACTGATTCATACCATCCAGTTTATTTTAAAACAAAAACAAAAATTGCATCATTTCCTATTGAAAATACTGAGCACTTTTCCAGATACCAGTGAGTGAATACTTCAACACTTCTGGACAGCACCAGGTTGAAGCTGGTTATATTACAAATTAAGCTTGTCTGGCTCACAAACAAAACTTCAACTATTTGGAACGATGTTTCAAATACATCACAAACTAGCACTTTGACAGGATAACCATGAAGGTCTTGGAAAAGGTATTCAGATGCCATGATGTGTCCACACCTTCAAAGATCAGAATTGCCCTGTGACACTCTGTGGAAACAAAGTTGGACTTTGAAGAAACAGGATAGAAAGAATATTGGCACTTTTAAATGAATCACAGAACAAGTCAATCCAGAATTCTCACTCAAGGCACAAATGACCAGACTCAAATTATTGTATTGTGGACAATGTATTTTCACAAATGAAAACCTAGCTCTCCGGAAAAGTCTATCATGCTGGGAAATGTGGAAAGAAAGCGATGTGGAGGACCAGCAGAAAGGTGGATGTACTTAGTTACAGCAACAATGGGTGCACCATTGGAATATCTGAAGGACCAGGTTGGGGACAAATCATCCTAGAGAAAATCTGTCTATGTGATCACTATGAAGTTGACACTAACGTGATGCACTCAATCAATCAACCTCTCACCTGATATCAAATCAGTCCTACAGCTGAATTATCTTCTGTGGCTGTATTACAATTAGAAAGCTAAAGCTTTGAGAGTTTGAAATAAATGTCAATCTTCTAAAAACTATCTCTGTCTCAAAGATCAATGTGTAGCAAGCTACACTATATTTTATTTTATTATCTGAAACTTCTAGCCATTATATAATCCTGCAAAGATTGTTAGGTCTCATATTTGAGTAGAAATATTTTCTCCATACAGATGTGTCAAGGCACATCTCAAACATTTCTCATAGATGAGAATGGAAAATTCAAAACCTCTGACCTCAGCACACAAAAGTTTCTACATAACCCAGAAATTGTCATAGTGGCAATGAACTGATCATATACTCAGTTTTAGATAGCAATTTCCCTTAGATTGATCATTGTAGAACACTAGAATTATATAGATCTATTTAATATTTAATAATTCTTGCACAGTTTGATCTCCAACATATGCCTTACCCCCTGTTACAAGTCTCACCTCAGAATTTAGCACAAATGTATGTGTCAGATTCTGCCCTGGGGCAATATTGCCTAGGTCAAAAGCAACTGAAGTATCGTAACTGTTCAGACTGCTCAGCAAAATGCCTCTGTTGTAGAATGATAACTCCAGAATATTCTGCAAAGGGCAAATGAGAGCCTATTTTAACAAGTAACAGATGTTTCCCTATTTATTTATGCTTAAACTGTTCCATTTATTTCCTGTCCTTACTCAGTGCTCTGTTAGTGTTATTGTTATTGTTATCACACTTCAAACACACGCAAGCTGTGGGGATTTTCCCAGCAAAGATGCCTTTTTCTACATATCACACTTTTCCAGTCTTCTTAAAGCCTTTCTTTCACAATATCTATCTTCAGAAAAGAGTCAATTTGCTTAAAAGTGAAAGAATGACAGAGCCAAATAATATGCTATGAAATATTCCATGAGTTTAGGTACCTGCTAATATTTATTCATAGCTGTTTCATTGTGTATTGAACTCTTTCAGCTCAGCAGTTAGTAATTTTTGACGTTGATAGACAAAGCTGGTGGTCACTCAGTTCATTGGTCTTTCTGACACTATAACCTTTTCACTCACGCATGCACCTAAATGCACCAAAATTCTTCCCCGACTGAAGGAACAATGACTTTTAGTGCATTTTGGATTAATAGCTTACCCAAATTTACCCTTATTACTGGTTAAAGGAACATAGGCATGGTTATGACATAGCAATCAACTACTAGTGCGCATAACTGATAGCCTGATATGGAGTTATTCAAAAGATACATCCAGCTGGGTTAGTGAACATGGTTAAATTTGATGGACTGAGCAGTGAAAGTGTATAATTTCCCTAAATACTGGTGAACAAATAAGTCATTAAAGCAAAGGTGTTTGTGAATTGCTACTAATCCAAACTTTGTCCAATCTTTCATTATTACGTTTTCTGTGTTTTCATACAGAATGTTATGCAGAAATGAAAATCACAGCTGGTTACATTGTTCATCATCACTTTGTAGTAGTTTGAAAAAAAAAGACCCCTGTCACATTTTTGTCATATGACAGAGCTGAGTAGACCTTGCGTGACAAAGCTTTGCTTCTCTGGGCTAATATCAATAATAGGAATGACAAAGAACAAGCTCACCTTTATAGCACTATGGATTCGATATTGGAAAGTTTCATTCCATTCAGGATCACTGCTGTTATAGATAACTGGAGTTCTTTTTATCAATGGAGATGCCGTAGGAAGTTTCAAGGCCACATAGCAATCTGATTTAGACACTAATCAGGAAAAAATATATATATACAAGGATAAGAGAAGCCTAAAAAAGCTACTTTTCTTCATATATTCAGTAGTCTGAATTTTGTAGTCTCTTCCAGCTAAATAGGTATGAAGACAGACCAAGGCTAAAATCCTAAACCTGAACAGAAATTACAGTACAATTAATAGTATGTATTCCTGAGTAAATACTGTTAACACAATGGAGAAACTTCCTACCACCTGCTGAAAATAAGTAATTCTGCTGTTTAAATAAGGGTTGACATTTTCATTCCATACTTGGTTTGTGCAATAATTTGTATGCAGAAGAGGTGTTGCCAGTCTAAACAATGGATTTCCACATGTATTTATTCTATTTTTTCTCACCGCTTCCCTCCAACCTTTCTCTTTCCATGCAATTGATTAAGTGCCTTTTTTTAATGTCCAGAGTCCTTTGTTCAGAAGCATGCCATGTGCTTGTACAGATGCCTAATGGACCATTTTTTTTCTCCAAGAACTCAGCAACTATTCTTTATACTGTATTGCATCAGCAAAAATTGCATTTCCTAAAAATTTCACATATATGTTTTCTAACACTAACTGGGTTTGCTAGGCTGAGACGCTTCTTAGCAGAGCTGTATACAGGGGCAGGTCAAAGGGGGAATGAATAATTAAAGTAGTGTCAGGCTGATGTGATGTAAGCTTACTTTAGTATGTATGTTATGACATCACAGACATACAGTACTGTGCAAACGTTTTAGGCAGATGTGAAAAAATGCTGTAAAGTAAAAATGCTTTCATATATATATGTGTGTGTATATGTGTGTATATATGTGTGTGTGTGTAACCTGTGATATGAAACTGTCTTCAACAACCTCACTTTAGTAGCAGAGTTTGGCTGTTCCTCACCCAGTTTTAAGCCTCCTACACA